TTTTGAATATTTACAAAAACTGGGGGAAAAGGGGGAGGGGGTGTGGGGTAACCATCCTTTTTCCACCTTTTTTCCTCAGTTTTTAAATATTCAAAAATCTGTATCTCATCCGTTCCCAATTTCATCCAATAGGCCTATGTTTTTAGTGTCTTAAAAAAGTCGATTCTACAACATACCGGTATCAAAGCATTTTTAACAGCTTTTGTAATGGCTCTCTATATATTATTATAGTAAAATAGGCATATTGACCTGTTTAATAATGTAAAATTCTGACTTAGGCATCTTACCATGACCTTATAGATCCATCAATAATAATTAAGACTTGTTGGACAAAGGCCTTCATTATAATCTTGTGGCGCGCCGAAACTATTTAGAAGCTACTGAATTATTAAACGAAAAATCTTACCTGAACATCACAAAGATAATTATTTTGATATCAATAGACCTGTAACCAGAATGAGTAGGCCTATAACCTATGCCTACTGTAATATTAACAATAATGATTATGATAATGTTAATAAAGATAACGGTAAAAGTAAAAATAGGCATTATTTAATAACAATATGCCCTAATAATGTTAATAATCATAAGATAATTATACTGTACTACTAATAAAAAAAATGATTTTGATTGATAAAAATAATAATAATAATAATAATAATAATAATAATAATAATAATAATAATAATAATAATAATAATAATAATAATAATAATAATAATAATAATAATAATAATAATAATAGTAATAATGGTCGATCGTTATCGTTCGTTATCGTCCTTGTTATCAGCATCGTCATTATAATCATCATCATCAATTCATCAAACTCATCGTCACCATCATCAACGTTAATTTTTTTTTATCATTTAGGCCTATTAGCATCATCTTAACATTTTTGTTGATTAATGGAACCGATGATAAGATTAGTCATAAGAAATCATATGTAATTCTATTATAAATAACCATGAAATAATCTTATAAAAAATATCGATGACTCGGTGATGATGACGGAGATTGAAGAACATAGACAAAAAATGTTTACTTGTTAATTAAAACTAATATTTATCTGAATCAAAATATTGTACGCGCTACGAATAAGATATTGATTAATTTTGCATTCTTCTTGCCAATCTCTTTCATAATTGCTGTGATGATGTATGAGCGAGTCAGTCTGCGGTTACAATACATGACGAATACGAAAGGTATTCCAAGCAGGTGTCGGTGATTCAAACAATGAGACTTGAGTCAAACGTAAACAAAGTATTTTTTCTTTCAGAAGCCCCAGCGGCTTGTTAGTCACATAGGGTCTATTGGATTAAAACAAACCATTTTCTTAATTATACGGGTAGTAATTGTATTTTTTTTGTATCATGTGGACACGTCATATCAAAGCAAATCATGAATTGTCTTGGTCAGAGGACGCGAGTGCGTCTGTGTTGGTTAGTAATCGAGTAAATATAACTACTGGCAATTAAATATAAACACATATTGTCAACAATATATTTTCAATCTTTTAGTAATAAATATTATGTAAATAATCTAATTTCACTACATACAGAATGTCATAAGCAAAAATTTAAGATTTGAGATATTGTCCTCGGACATGTACAAATTAATAATAATTACGCCCGTAATCACGCAGTATAAAACTAAAATTAAATGATTAAAATACAAATATTAGTTGTTACTCATCTTTTGAAATATTTTTTATATATTGTTATAATTGTTACAATCTTCATTTTGTGACTTTCACCCAAAATTATTGCAAATGTAGTAAAAATAATTAATAAAATCACAAAAAATACGAAGTGCTTAGAAGGGAAAAATGCAGCGCCATCACCGGTAGTGTATTAGATGACATCATCAACTTCCTCAGAACAGCCACCGTTTGGCAACTGCCTTGTGCAAAACAATGGGAAATTCAGTTTGATGATTCGAGCAACGGCTGGAGGCGTGTTCACAACAAGATATGTCATATCGATGACTATTCGAGAGTACGGCAACTCATTCAGATGTCAAATCATCGCTTGTTTTCTATATTTACGGATTTCTCAGTTCATTTTGCTATAAGTGTACAGCTTTAAAATCGGTTTGCAATCATATACAGTTCATTACGGAAACTGTAAGTGAGTGTAAGTATCCTTTGTTTTTGGTAGGCATGATGGGTGAGGCAGAGAGAAGTAGAATAGCGCTGCAGTAAGGCTAGGCGAGCCCAGGCTGGTGGCAGGGAGACTCTGTGTATGTAGTGTGGACCAGCCAAGGACATTCCATTGTTGTTTTTTTTTCCCACTATCGTCGTGTTCGCAGTTTGTGGTACGCGTTTGCGGTTAGAGAGAGCTGCTTGTTATTCGTTTGATGTAATGCTATTAAATACTAGCTTTGCCATATTGATCAGAACAAAGGAATTTTATGATTCTTAAATTTTGGAAAATTGTTGTATGTGCTGTTTGATTGTAGGCTAGGCCTAGACGTTATTAATATGGTGCCTGGCCTTAGGCCTACAGTAGCTAGTGAGTCTTGGTACCTAGACTGAACTCAATGAATTCGGCCCAGGTTTATTCAACCTTTTTGGGCCAAAACGACCCAGGTATGGATGCCGAAATGTCTCAAATCAGAAAGCCAGGGAAGGCCAAGCAACTTGGCTTTTACTCTTATAAACAAATCAGGCCGATAATATTTTATTTGCTTTATTTCTTTAAATTATAACAGGACTAATATTTAATCTAAATGTAGGATATCAGCATTTTGTGTGTATAAAAAAAGACAAAAAAACTATTATTTCAATACGAGAACATTGTATTTGTATGTAGAAAGATCTCTTTTAACTTTTAATTAAAACAAAAAAAAAATAATGTGGAAAGTCCCTGTAAATAGGTCTATTTTATTGAAAAAATGATACGGAAAAAATAGACAAAAGTTGTCAAAATATGTGGCTATTAATAAATAGCAGTAACAGTACTGTACATAAAGCGAAGGCTGAAACTATGCTGGCCATAAACGATGCTGGACCAAAGTGACCCGGGCTGAAATGACTCAGGGCCAAATCAACATGGGCAGAATTAACCCTACACCAGGCACAAAGGAAGCATGTTTTTATGCAATAATATTAGGGTAGGCATGGGCTAATCCAGTCCTCTTCAATTTTAAGACAAAACTTAATACTTTGGATTGATTTACTGTAGTCCTGTGTTCACAGTAATCATTCTTGAAAATGATAAAAAATAAATGGCTTCCTATTATCTAAAGCCAAGGTAACACCAGAAGTAGTAGTCAGCTTAGTACTAGCATTAATTATTATCATTTTTTTGAAATTTAGGACTACAATGAATTTATTTAAAATGTGTCCTAAATAATGTGAAGCTGTGTTTAATAAATTTAATTTTTAAATCACATTTTAGTCCTATCTTATATTAATAATGTTAGTGGCTTTATTTGGATAATTTGTAACTTGTGGCTCTCATATTCAAATTCAAAATATCTTTGCCTCTTGCCTCTAGTTAGCCTTTTTCAATCCACTGCTGGATGTAGGCCTCCTCATTGTTGTCTTTGCTGTGCTGTCTGCATCTAACTGACCCCACCATTATGGTGTATATCTTCTTTCCATCTATTACAGGGTCTGCATCTTAGTCTTTGGAAATTGTGTGGTGTTCAGACATTTGCCCTTAGTGTCCACCGGTTGTCCTGTTCTTGCATGATATGGCCTGCCCATTTCCATTTTATTCAAAATAACTTTATTTGTTATCAAAGTAAGCATGGATTGAATTATACAGAAATGTAAGACAAAAGTAGAAATTGAAATTGATAAAACAATAAAAAAAATAAAAATTACATAGTATTCTAGTTTATTTAAATTTACAACAAATTAAAAATTTAAAAAAACTAATAAAATAATAATGAATTAAAGAGATCAATGTACAATTACAAGAATTAACAGTATGCAGTCAAAATAATGAAAAATTTACAGATTTTTATTATATCATCGGTTGAATGTTTCCATTCTGAATTTTTAATTTCATTTATTTTGAATATAAACTAAAATAAAATTTTGAAAAATGAAAGTACAATGTTGTGTAATTGAAACTACCAGTATTATTTTTTTAAAAATGTTTGTGTAGTCCATGTTTTGACAAAATCCAAAAAATGGGTAGGTCGGTAGGAAAACATTTTTTTTTTTTAACAACCAAATATGTGTTTTATGCCTAAAGAGTAGAAAATATACAAAAAAAATACAACAATTTTGGATTTGCATCGCATACCATCCAGCAAAATAGGCTAGCCTTGGCCCCCTAACCATGCCAAGGCTATTCCAGCCATATTTGCTCATAAAAAATGATTGTTTGTTGTCAAAAAAATTGTTGTCAAAAAAAAAAGAAAACTAAAATGCCGACCCTTAATTTCGTAAAATTTGGGTCGGTCGGGTGTGGCCAACACAATAAATTTTTTTTTTGGCCTAAGTCTTGAAAGCCATCCACTGCCTGTGCAAAAAACAAAATGAAAAATAAATAATTATATTTTACATTCAGAACTTTGTGGATAAAAAAATTTTTTTTTGTCAGTTTCAAATGCATTCGGTTTAATAATAATAATAATAATAATAATAATAATAACAATAATAATAAATAATAATGATAAATACTACTAATAAGATAGATGGATTTATACAGTATAGTGCAAATAAACAAAGTTTCTATGTGCTTGACAATACTGTAAGTAAGAAGACAATGAAGATGGGCAAGAAAAACAAAATAAACTCCAAGCTAACAGCCAAACTGAAGTATGGGGTTACACCGTAATATCAGTTATTATCTGAGTTTACAGGGGTCCCAAGTTGGAAGAAATTCCTTCCGGGATATCTGGTTGAGTGAGCTTTCTTAGCACATTTAATTTTATTTTCCTGCTCAAGGTGATGCCTATCGGCACTGACTTCTGTGGGATAATTGATGATAATGTTAAATATTATAAATTTGTGGGAGATAGGTTATTTTCCAGGAGATTCTCGCTTGCTTGTGGAAGTGCGGGAGGACGTCCTGATTTCCGGGAGACTCCCATGACTTCCAGGAGACTTGGGACCCCTGAGTGTATAACTAATCTATGGAACATGTCTCCAAGCTCACATGTGTTCACAATAAAAAAAAAGTATGGATTTTGAAATGTATCAACTGTGATAAGTTAAAAACACCAAAAAATATAATTCAGTATTAGATACTTCATAATTAGATATTATTATTAGTTTTCAGTTGAACAATTATTATGAAAAAAGTCTTCACCACTTAATGGGAATAATATTAACCTTATTTTTCGTATACAGTAGACCATTAAAGTGGCTGCTAATCATTTCAGTAATTTTTGTGAACATCTGTAAAGGAATAAGTGAATTTATTTTTATCTGTTCTTGGAAGTTAATAATTGATACTTTTGAATGAATAATTAATGATTCCATTTTTTTTTTTCATATCGCTTTAGATGGTTTACCTTTAGGATTGTTGCAAGTAACAGTCCCTTAACCAGTGGTGGGGTGGGTGGGGAGTAGTTTCTTAGAATTGACTGGACCTACTTTTCAAGCAACCCTTTCTCTGATACCAAGCTAGCCCATTTCAAATCCATTTGAATCTCAGGATCCCACCAGAAAACCTCCCTTTCCCTGCAAGTAACTCTGTGTGAAGGCACGCAACTTGTGTCAGTTGAGATTGGCAATGTTGATTCTGACAGCATTTTGTTTGTTTCTCAATGTGTCATTTTAGAGATTACACTACATTTGGATCTTTCAGTGTACAGTACTAAATTCAGTCATTGTTTAGTTATTGATATTACAGTCTTTGAGGTTAAAGTTAATGTCAGATTATTGCGCTGAATATGTTTTTAAAAATTCATTGTTGAACATCAAAATTATTGGATCGAATAATAGGTAAATATAGCCTCGCTGGAAGCTGGTGAAACATCAAGTCAAGTTTACATCACCCTTACACATACTTGATTTTTTAATCATTGTAAAAGAACCATATATTTACAAGGTTGTATGTTCCACAGAGATTGAAGTTCCCTTGAAAAAATAATTGTTATGTATAGATCCAGGATATAGACATTATTCTTATCATATGATAATTTTAAATAAATAATTCTAGGAATTTGATTGAAATCTATTGACCCTTGTACTTTCCAGTTTGTCGTGTCATATCCAATGCTTCCTGTTGGATAATAAAAATACCTTTTACTTATGAATATGTATTACATTCTATGTCCTACCGGTAGTTAGATTGTTTTGTGCAGGAACAACAATAACAAATTATTTTTAGTTACTGATTTTTGGAGATTACAGATAGCGAAACTAGATTGGCTGATTATCTTCTTAACTCTAAAATGGGGGATGTGGTTTAGATCAATGATATTGATCTAAAACCATCAATTATCATACAGGCAGTTTTCCTAAGAATTATTCCTTTGTTCATTATGATATATGAATTTATAGGCTGGAAAATAGGATCAGAGCTTTGTAGCTTGGTGCTTAGCATTTTTTTATAATCCCAGGATGTTGGGTTTACAGAAGTGTGACATACTGTATTGGATTTTCCAGAAAGCAAGGCTAGAAAAAGTGCACATTTTCCCTTTGGCATTTTTAGGGAGAATTTTTCTCCCACTGCAGGCCTGATAGCATGCAGATAACATTTGGTGTGGGATGCATTTTATAAGGTATTTTTCATGATTGAAGGCACAAAAATTTTAAGTGCTGATGCCAGATATAACATATACCATACTGTATTGCTATTTATTAGGAAGTATGCAATATTTAAGTATAACCTACTGTATAATCAAGTTTATATAATATTAACATACCTGTGCAGTTTCCATGTATTGTGCTTAGTGCAGTTGAATAACCTTGGGAATGTTGCCAATATTTACCTACCATTATGCAATCTTTGAACACCTTACAGTATAAATAATTTGTCATAGTTCACATACACTGTCAAGATAATGAGCTAATTTATTTATTTATTTAAAGCCATGTTGACCCTTATAGCTCAGAGTTCAGGGGCCCACTTAAATACAAAAATATAAAAAGTATATAAAAATATAACCAATCTATCACTTAATCATGAAATTTAAAACAGCAAACATTAAAATTCTAAAAATATAAAATAAGAAGAAAGAAAAAGAAGGAAAACAAACAAAACAGACTAAGTAAAAAGAAACACACACACACACACACACACACACACACCCCAACACACCTCCCACACACACACAAACACTGAACCCACACGGGAAAAAGCCTAAGAAAAAGGGGAATATAAATGCTTATTTAAAATGTGTTGCTTGATGTGCTTTTAAAGGTGTTGTAAGCAGGTATGGTGGTGGTGGTGATGGTAAGTGGGAGGGTATTCCAGAATGAAATAGCTTGGTAACTGAAAGATGATTTGAATGAATGGAGTTTGAGATGAGGAAAATTGAGATTACCAGCGGCAACGTTCCGCTAAGTCCTACCCCTTACATATTGTTATTAAGGACGCACAATAAAATAAAGCTATTTCTTAGAGAAACGTGTCTGAGTGTGTGGTTGTAAACATAAATTTGTGTGTTTGTGGGACATTGACATGTTGCTGTACCCTTTGAATAATACACTCTGATTGGCCAGTTATTAAGTTCGATTGACATTTGATTTACAGAATAAAAAATTACAGAATAAAAAACTGCAGAATAGAAGGGTCCATTGTGACTGAGTATCTATTACCACCATGTAACATTAATAATAACTTGTCTATTTCATCTCTTTATTTAACAACAAAGTGAAATTTTGAATAGACTGAAAAACTGAAACATTCAACATGGCCAGCCCATCTGGGCGTTCAAGTACAACAACTGTTGTAGAGGATGACAGCTCTGAAACTGAAGCTAATGTCTCCGAGCAAGCAGAGGGCATTATACGTAGTTTTATGTCACAGAGGCTTCACATGGCCTTGAACAACGAGGAGGAGGATGTTATTGTGGCAACACCAAGCCTAGCTGAATTTACTGTTCCTGGTGATCCATTCAGGTACAGTATTCACCTATTCAGGTATTAAACATGCTTTAAATAGACAACATTGAATTCAATTGATGACTTAGTACTACAGTATAAACCTTCTGAGGTTCTGCAGAATTTTGTAAATATGTTTCATAACAAATATGTTTCATAACAATGTTAAATAACACATGTTGCTTGCACCAGAAAGATGAAAAGTGCCGCTTGTTGTCACAAATCGGTTTCATGGCAGGTAAATGTCATCACTGTAAGGTCAGCCAGTCACGGAAGGAACATGTGACACTGTATTAAAGTGTCATAGGCTATTGACCCAATACCTTTACATTAGCCAGTGCCATAACTTGCTTGCCTCTACTTTCAAGCAGAAACAAAGCTTATATCACAGCCCATCAACAGTGCAAGCTATGATATTTCATTCTGCCTGGGTCTGAAACCCTACCTGATGTTTCTATACAGTCCATCAAAAATGTTTTCATTAATACAAATAATATAAAAATGTAAGAATCTGTGAAAGATGTTAATAACATTATTTTTTGGTCTTCACATTGTTATAGTGCCTCAACAAACATCGGTCGACGTCTCGCCCAAATGGGTGACCAAATTGACTCGCAGTACAGAGAAGAGTTTAGGCAGATGATTAGTAATCTGCACATCACACCGGCAACTGCATACCAGGCCTTTGCAGGTGTTGCACGAAGGTAATTTTAATTCCACAATTTTTTTTTTCGCCTTGATTTAAATCCATAGAACCAGTTCTGTATATTTTGTTGACTGTATTGTGTGAGCCTGCCTTATAATTATGTCAATAATTTTCTTTAACATGTTGACTGCCCGACCATTTTTAAAGGTTCCTTCACATGTGCCAAAACAAGTTTACATGTACAAACATACTTTTTTGAAATTTTATCTAGTCATATATCATCAAAATGATGTGTCTAATAAATTGGCGAGAAAATATTATGGGGCGAGTATACTCGTCGACGGCACTGTGAACGTTTTATTGACTGCCAAGTGCGAGTTATCTCGTCCACTTTTTGCATGGGCTGGTATATTTTCGAAGGGCGCCCCCCCCCCACTTGTGTGCTCGAGTGTGCTACCAGCAACATAACACAACAAACATACATCATTTGTACGTTATCGTCTATGTGTATGTACCCCGAACTACCAGCCGTTGAGTCTCTGGTTCTACAATGTTTAACAAAGAAATGTTTTGATTAAATTAATAACTTTAGAATAATTATATAGATATCTTGGGATATTTTATGATTTTATCTTATCTTTTCTTTGGCATTATTCTGTATAGATTGTACCTAAGAATAAATTGTTGTGTTTTTTGTATTAGATTGTTCTGTGAAGGAATAAATTGGGGCAGAATAGTTGCTCTTCTAATGTTTGGTTACAGAATCGCTATCGACGTAGCCAGAAATGCTTCTCACTTTATAAAAAATATAATCCAGACACTGGTTAAATTCATAATATCCGAAAAGATAGCGAAGTGGATCGCAGATCAAGGTGGCTGGGTAAGTGGGTGGAGATATTAAACAGTAATGTAATCATTTTTGAAATTGTATTTTTATTTATTTGTTCTTTATTCTTGGTAGCCTCTTCATTAAAATATTACTGTTCTCACAGAGAGCCAGTATGCCTGCGCCAATATAAAAAGGACCATAAAAATAAAATGCCTATACATCATAAAACATTGCAGTGGAGGAATTTTAAAATGAAGAAATAGAATTAAACTTTCCCCTCATTCCAAATTTATGTTTCCCTAAAAATAAACCTTAACTTTTAACCAGTATACATTATACACAATCATATCTTTTTTTTCCATTGTGATTTTGATAATTTTGTTAGTCCTCTTTAAATTAACCCTGAGTTCATATGAGTATATTATGTTATGATTTAGACTTTGGTTCCACTAATAACCGATAAGATGCAGCACTCCCTGATATGAATGAGATAATTTATAGAGAATTTTATTACAATGATTAGTTTTATATCATTTTATTATTTTATAATAATAGGCTATATTTGTATATACACTATATCTGTATGTTATACTGAAGTAGACTATGGACTGATTTTTAATAGACATACAAAGATAATTATTTATTTGTTTGATCAGATATTTCTTAAGCCCTGTCCAGACTATTAAACTGAAAAAAAAACCTGTTGTATGAACATATATAGTTATGATGTGCCTATATATGGTCATGATATGATGTTATCATGACCATATTTAGGTATGTTAATGTTGTCAAGTAAGATTTGATAGTCTAGATATGGCTTCAAACAAGCATATAGTATCAGATTAAAGTTTGATGCTATAAACATGAACCCCTCCCCCTTCCAACACTCCATCCTTGGTGGCATAATGTGGTTTGATATTCCTTGAAAAATGGAAAGTAATTATATATTCTTATTAATTATTTACACTGTTAACTTTGATATACAAAGCCTGAATGGTTTTTTTTTATCTGCATTTAATCTACTGTATCTTATGATATAGCATCAACAACATAATTAGCTATCATTATTTGACACAAAAAAAAAGCAATTACATATATATTTATAATAAATGATGAATAAATTTATCTAATCTTGTACAGTACTCCACACTTTAAGCAGACAAAGAAATCCATTAAACAACTGTTGAGTTGCATTGTGGTTTTCCATGCCAGTTGAATGGCAGGGTTTTCTTCCCTTAATTGTAACCCCTTGTGGTTTTTATGTCCTTATTTCAATTGTTTTTTCATTCTTTCCTTCTTAGGTACAGTACCATCTCCAAACTTATACTTCAGATTTATAAATGTAGACTATCGTAAAGTAGGAAAATTCTCTAAAAATAGGAACAGTATATTGTATTTTTTATTAATATATATTGCCAACGAAAATATCTCAAAAGAGATACAGTAATATTAAATAAAGCTTCATGTTCATAATGTTGTTTGTCTATGTTCAATTGAAACTTCATCAAAGTATATTTACCAACAAAATCATTTCTTTGCTGAGGGTAGTGTAGTACTGCTGTAGTTTCCCCATCCTAAATTTAATTTCACAGAAATGAAATTATTTATAATTGATCTACCTGACCTATTGACCTGTGCCATTAATACAAAGCCTAATTATTCATGAATGCTTACACTCATAAATATTCAACATCCATGTGCTACAATGCCAGTTAACTGATTGGTTATTTTTTGCTGAGTCATGGGTTTGTTGAATTTTGATATGCTGAACATGCATGTTTCTGATGATGTCTGGCGCCGTCTGTCAGCTGGCGGATGTACCACAATAAATGTGACCATGGAAAGCTACTTAATATGTATTGTGTCGCACACATAACTTACGTTATGACCAGTAGTGAACAATAGATTATTTTCACCATTGATTCAAGCGTTTATTGTTATATCCTAAAGCCATTTTGAGGATGTGAGCAATCAATGAATGTTTTGCAAATAGTAATCAAGAAATAGTATATAAATGCTTCATTATAATATATAGTTATCATTTTTTTAACTGAAATGTGTAATATTGGTTGATAAAGGGTAGAATCGACACAGCTGGTTCATGCTCCTTTTGAATTTTCAGGCCTAGTGGCTAAGAATAGGCAAACAGTGGGAACATTTTTTTTAGTTGGGTTAGGCAAGATTTTTTTATACCTTTTTTTTATATATAGTAATGTTTATTGGTATCGGTTTTTAATTACAGATAAGTGCACTCTCCTACCAGATGGAGCAATCGAGCTGGGAAGCAATCGGCCTAGTCTCTGGCTTGGCTGCCTTATCAGTAATTGCAGTGATCTACATTTCCAGAAGGTAAAATATCACATGTGATAGATTTGCTAGGTCAGAATCACTGCAGAACATTTACCACAAACAAAGACAATATTCTGCCCTGCAAGAATTGACAAAGAATGTGTTTGACGATGCCACTGAACACAGATGTTGGATGCAAATTTTCAGGGCAGTTGATTTTTAACATATTTAGTGTGTGGTGAAATATATACGGATGTTACTGACGCAGATCTCAGGTAAACCTCTGCAGGAAGTTGAAGGCACTGTCCTTTAAAGGTTGTTGAAACTAGTGGAAGTAATTTAGTACATGTTCTTAATACTGACCTTCCTGTAGCATCTGTAAATTTGACAGCATCAACACAACTAGAAAATGAAGTTATGAATAAGTCAGTATTCACACTTTTAATTATTGAAGGTAATTGACCGTTAAGGTTGGTTGTGATTCAGGAAAAAAATAAATATTTAATTGCTTTTTTTTCCTGTAAAATGTAATGTTTTGAAATTTTCTCTCAACATTTTTATGGATAGAGTTTTTTCAATGAAATATGTATCCTGATTTTGCAAAAACTTTCATTTATTTACAATGTTGATTAAGTTGGTTTTGCATTTAAGTCATTTTAGAAGTAGATGAGTTATCTTGATACATTATGTGCCAGTACGGAATGTTAAGTAAAATGTGTTTACTTAGTAAATTTACATTCCAATAGCCCAAAATTGGGGGATTTTTCAGCCATCACAATTCTACTATCTCTTCTTGATCCCTTCTCTACAATTAAAAACCTGTATTATGTACAAAAAAGGTTAGTATAGAATATTTTTCTTTCTTTCTTTCTTTTTTTTATCAATAATACAGTTTGATGTTACATAATTATAATATATTTTCTTTTGTAAAAAAATGGAACACAGTTCTGAGCATGGCGCTATTAATAGGTCCATGTTCTGAGGACACAAATGTTCTACCCTTTCCCCATGGACCTTATTAATAGGTCCATGCTTTCCCTATGATATGCATAACAATTCAGAAACTACACTTCTAGCTTAGGTATCGCAATGTACAGTAACTATCATAGCTTTATATGCATTGCCGTCATTATCAATATTGCTATCAATGTCATCAGCAGAATTATCAATACATATTTTGTTCAAAATTTAAAAAAATATTATTATTATTATTATTATTATTATTAGATTAGAGAACAGTTTAAAAAAGGACGTTAAGGGTAAAATAACTCAAAAGATATTGCCCTTAAGTCTGACTTAGCACATATTATTATTATTGTTATTATTATTATAATTATTATTATTATTATTATTATCCACATCATCTCTTTAAACATCCAATGGAACATGAACATTCCAGTTAAGTGTTTTTTTAAGCCGTCTAATCAGATTATAACAACCATTCTGTGGCTAGACTTGCTCTCCAAAGAAGGCTTCACTGATATGCTACCTGCATTTAGCTAGTAAACTTGAAAAATTAACTCCAATATGTGAATTGCTTGAAGTTATTAACATTCAGTTGAGAATTAGTTGATGCAAACATATACCTGAATACCGAACAATACACAATACGTATGATGGGCAATTCCATTATTTAGTTTTATGGGGGAGGGTAAAAAATTGAACCTCTGTGATCTTGTCCTTTGACCTTTTCTTCCCATAATTTAATCATCTCTTTTAAATTATTATGTAATATAACACACCTAAATAGATCCTGTCATTTGATTGGTGGATTTCATATCATGTGACATTGTTTATTTACTCTATTTCGTCACTCATTTTAATTTAGTTCCACCATGAATTTTTACTTCCATCCACGCATATTCATTCCATCCGTTTCGCTCCATGGCACAGTGCCTAGGATACGATATGACTTGAAAAAGGGCAGATTTTTTCTATAAAATACCAAATGACAAGAATCTATTTTAGGTATGTTATAAAACTATTTTTTTATTCATGCAATGGAAAAAATATTTTCATGAGTTGAAAGTTTGACTGTGTCATTGCAATCGGCTCCGCCTTGTCGAATGGAACAGTTAGTCTTTCAACTCATGAAAATATTCTTCCCCTTGCACTAGTAAACATTCATTATTTGTATACCATTTCACTAAATTTGTGTTGGTCTTTTTTTAATTTTTTGCATAATCTCTTTTGCGTAAAGTAAACAGTAAGGGTGAAAAAATACTGTTGAGAAGAGTGCTTGTTACCTCCTGTTCTACTCAGTACACAAATATTTTTTACTTCATACATAACCAGCTTATTTTTCTACCACCAGCCATTTAATTGTTTTTGGCTACTTAAAGACTTTGTGCTTAAATGACCTGAGCCTTGTTAAATGCTTTTTTTTCAATGCTGACGAATGAGCTATATGCGCATGTACTGCATTAAAGAACCATAGAACCCTTGTCGAATGTCGGGTGCTCCAGGGTCTAGAGAATCCGAAACTTATCAGAAGCAGGTTCAGTGAGATGTGTATAAGAGACAGGTATATATATATATATTTATATGTATATATGTACTGTAATGTATATGTACAATGCCAAATGCCTGACACCTATGTGATACAGGTTTTTCATTCTCCTAAACATTATTTGATTGGCAGTACAATAGATTTCTAGAGCTTGGTCTGCTAGTGTTGTAATTCCACCACAGCTTTCAACGTTGATTACATGGCACTGAGTATACTAAGCCCATGCATCAGCACAATTATACTGGCTTGATATCTCATCATGCTTATAAAAACATAATTTGAAAGCATTTATAATATGGCTGGATACTTAATTTGATTGCTAGATAAATTAATTAAAATGCCCCTCTTATTTTCTAGTTCTAAATAATGTTGAAAATATCTCGGAAATATGTTATATGTCTTGTAAAAAAAAAATGGCATTAATATGAAAGTATTCAAACACAATCTGGCATTAGACATGTTGAGAAAGTGCTGATTTATTGAATGTCTTTTAAAGAATTGCATGCTGCACTGGTATCGGTGCAAAGTCTTTTTTTGGGTGATACAATATTTCCTCTTTTATGTGTTTCTAATTTAGTGCGTGTATTTCATGATGCGTGCCCATACAAGGCATTTACTTTGTATTATTGAGCGTTGAGGGCAGCAATCATGTTAACTGTGTTCTTAAAATCTTTGATTTTCATTGCGTTTTTTTCTCTTTACCATATGAAGACTTCCACGTGAAAGAACGATTGATATTTTAACATCCAGTTTTTTATGTGCAATTCTCGGAATAAAGAGAAATAAACCTGAATGTGTCTTGTTTTAATTCATAGTCTTCAAAGTCGAATTTTTGTGCCTCTACGTTACTTTGAGTTGCCTGAACACGACCGACTCCATAGTTTCGAAAATACTGTATAGTAGGCCCTATTTGCTGCTTCATTCTGCAAAGGATGAATAAGAAAAAAGAAAAGAAAAAGGAAGAGGAGCTAATATGGTTGGCAATGCACCCTGAGCTTGGTCAGAGGATACCTTTGTAAAAAATAGACTCATCCTGATTTTCCAACTGCTTAGGCGCGGTAACTGCACTTTTTCGCCTAACGAGATTTGAGACATGTCAAAAACAAAGTGCTCCTAAGAATTTTATTTATTTTTTTAATAGACATTTCTGAGGCAAACAAGCTACCAATAAATAAATAAAATGATAAATAATAAGATTTGCTTTTCTTAACATACTGCTATGCAAACCTAATAAACTTCAACACTAGTAAAAAAAAAAAAGCTTACTTTGTATAAGTATTTTAATGTCATTAGCGTACAAGTAAAATTTAGAAAGATATTATAATAGGCCTACTCGTCAATTAACAGACGTCTAGAATGTACAATTATCGGTACTGTCAGCAAATAACCTAAAATTTCTTTTACTAAATTTAAGGACTTTTATAGTTAAAACGTCAGAAAACCTATTAATTTATATACCATACCGCTAAATCACACTTTTTAAGAAATTGTGGTACCTCGCCTTTGGATGTGATGTTTAGCCATACCTGCACGAGAAATAACTAATTAATGTACACAAAAAATAGGGATTAATTGCATCGATAATGAGCATGCGCTGAACTACAGCCAGACAGATCCTCAAGGCGCGCTTAATTCGAATTTCCTTGTTGATCTTTGGTAAGGACCATACATAATTAGCAGGCATTTACAATATCCTCCATGACGTACACCACATTACGTCATTTTTTGTTTTAAATGATTACGCATTGTGTCAACCCTGAGCATATTTATTATAAACATACTTTCGCTTCCGGTTTTTATATACCAGAAAACATGAGAGGTCGCCGTCATGTACTTAACAATTTTCTCTAAACCGGAAGACTCGATCGGTATTACTGAATACATTTTTTTTTTGTATTAATCATTAAACAATAAATGAAAGCGAAAGCCTCAATGCTGCTCAGATGACAAAAACCCCTCTTACTAATGCCATTGTTTTATGGTGCTTCTTCAAACATCGCCTATGATTTTAAAAGAAGTGAACGAACGGTGAGTACACTTACGTCAAATTATTTGTTAGATTTTAGATATCCTTGTCGTCATTTACATTTTCGGTTGACTTTAAATCACAACAGAGATCATTTAATATATCCAGTAGGCCTATAAAATTTAAACGGTTAAAACAAATAGTAGGCCTAATTATAATCATGTAACCATTGACCTATTAAAGAACCATAGAACCCTTGTCGAATGTCGGGTGCTCCAGGGTCTAGAGAATCCGAAACTTATCAGAAGCAGGTTCAGTTTAACGCTTGGTCACAATGGCGGTCTACATGATTAAACTAAAGCAACACAGCACTTGCAGTACTTTTGTAAACAGAGTTGTAGTTGAGATATGTAGGCTACAACATTGAGACAGAAAAATTTGAGAAACACCAATTTAAAATTTCTTTACCATAATATTTATGATGCTTTTCATGAATTCTTCATCTAATCCTTGCCAATTACATTATCGTTTTTTCTCCTGTTACAAAAAGATTACAGACATTGTCATGAGTTATGGTAATGATGGATGGGGAAGTTCGTGTTTTTGCCACTACTGCCTATCTGGCTAAATATAGAGCAGTAATTGTCTCATTCAAAACGTTTGTTTTCATTCCTGCTGGTTTCGAATTGTTTTTATCTATTTTTATTTTTTTAGTACTATTATTTTTTTTTTATTTTTTTTTTTTTCCAAAACAGGAAATATTGGCCACTAACTTTAATACTTCACACAATTCTTTCGCTTTCGTCTCATTTGCATAAATTCGATACATCATTTTAGTCTTACAATAATTCTCTATTAAAAACACACATTTATTTGGAACTCAAAACATCGTATACAATAACATAGTATGAAATAATATTTTAATTAAAGTGTTCAATATATAACTAATTAGATGCATGATTGATAACTGTTCTTCTGAGACAAAACTGAAAACTCATTTTCCATGAGTAAATATTGTTTTATTATTGTAGTGATCTTAAGCATATACAAAACTCAATGGTTCTGCTTTTTGATTACGATTTCCTGTTGATTTTGTAATAAGCTATGGACAGCAGGGGTGGTGGAGGTGTGACAATGAAGTACAAACTTGTGTTATTTGGGGACGCTGCTGTCGGTAAAACGAGTTTGGTTTTACGATTTGTTAAAGGAAGTTTCTCCAATGAACCTCAAGAAGCAACTATAGGAGGTAACTCGATGTGCAATGATATTAGTAGTATTTATAACGATTAAAGTAATTAGACCTTAGTAGTAGTAGTAGTAGTAGTAGTGGTAGTAGCAGGGACGTAGCCAGGATTTGAAAGGGGGAGCCGTTATGCGAGGTACGTAGGACCCCGTGTGTGGGGGTCCAGAGGCGAACCCCCTAGGAAAGTAGCGCGCTCTGAGGGTTTTTAGATGACAAAGTGAAATATCATTATAAATAATATTAGTAAGCCTAACAATAATTATATAAAACTCAAAAGTGGTGGATACAGGAGTTCAATAGATTGACCCAGGGAGGGACAGGTTGAGGAAGCACCCACCTCAGCCCCAAGAAAATTTATGATTAGTGCACCTCTAGATTGCCGGAAATTACACTCTCAGACTTAAATTTCATGGATATTTTTTTTTTCCATTAAAAAAATGTAGGGGATGGGCCTTGAATCCACCACTGCTCAAAACATTCTTTATCCAAAATAGTCATAATCACGAAAAATGGGCATGTAAAACCAGATCACATCCTAAAAACAAATGTATGCATTCTCGTCTCATCAGCAGTCGCTAAGACATGAGTCAGGTGTCTACTCGATGGAGTTTAATGTCATACCCGGGAAGGGCGAAATCTGTTTTGAAACAGTGGTGGCGCCAGGACCTGCCCGACGGAGGGGCTAAAGGCCCCGACGGGGGGGGGCTAGTGGAGCGAATCGAGTCTCACTTGGCTGGGGGCCAGGGGGCCGCCCAAGGCCCCCGGTGGGGGCCACGGATATTTGATGAATTATGGCGAATTTTTATTACTTATTTGATAGGCATCGAGTTACTATGACTTCATGTAGGCCATGCTTTCTAATGTTTAATTCAGCTTCCAAAACCAAAACATTTTGAATAAAGCAAGAAACAAAGAGTATGCAATGTAACCATCTAATTTATTTTCAAATCCTCATTCTTGAAAGTGAAATTCTATTTTTTGGAAATCATCATCATCATCATTATTATTATTATTATTATTATTATTACTACCAGTAGTACTGTAGCATTAGAACAAAACTAGAGCATGCAAAAGGATAAAAACCAAACTGAACCACACAGTACAATATCACATTTCTGTATCTGAAAAACCTGGCCTGGGATTTATGGATTTAAGAATTTTGGTGGTGGTGGTGGTGGTGGTGGTGGTGGTAGTAGTAGTAGTAATAGTAGTAGTAGTAGTAGTAGTAGTAGTAGTAGTAGTAGTAGTAGTAGTAGTAGTAGTAGTAGTGTAGTAGTAGTAGTAGTAGCAGTAGCAGTAGCAGTAGTAGTAGTAGTAAAACTATTTTGTTTTTTAGTATTTCACTGTGGAATTAAATGATAACGTATGATTTTAGAGATTTCATATCCAGCCAAACTGGTATGTCACTGGTAGACACATCATATTATCATTGTTCTCTGCCAACAGTTGCATTTCAAAGCAGCACAGTTTGTCTTCCTGAAGCAACAGTCAAGTTTGAGATTTGGGACACAGCAGGATCTCAGCGGTATCAAGGTCTTGCACCCATGTACTACAGAGGGGCACACGCAGCCCTAATCGTCTTTGACATCACCGATGAGGTATTTTCAAAATCAGATAGTAAATTTTACAAGACAGACACGAATAACAGTAAGAAAAGGCGCTCCATAGAGTGCACCTCTCCCCTGTGCCAGGCCGTGTAGCATGGGTGATTCTATTATTATCCACCCTGTGCCTGAATACCGAACAATACGGAGGCCATGTATGATGGGCGATTCCATTTTTTTCTTTTATGCTCGAGGGTAAAAATCTAAATTCCGTGACCTACACCTGTCCTTTGACTTTTTCTTCCCAAAATGTAATCATCTCTTTCTTAGATTGTTAGGCCTATGTACCATTCTAATAAATTTTATGGTGATCCATTTCCTTAGTTTTTGCGTAATCTTGCTAACAGGACAGACAGACAGACAGTGATGAATACATTATAACCGCTTTGGCGGCCGGGGGTAATAAAGTAAATGTAGTACTATAGAGACTAGTTGAGATATTTTATTGAGGTTTTGTGTACATTCTTCAGTACATGTACTGTGTGCTCGAAAGCCTTCTGTATAATATAGGCCTACTATAATTGTCGGAAGGGGATTTCCTCCACTGTCTCCCCATCCTCGCTGGCGCCAACTGCTTCTACTACTGTCATCACTGCTCACTACCTGTCCCTTATACACATCTTCAACCCTGAG